TTAGAAAGTTACTTTACAAGTACATTGAATTCAAGCTCCTTATATACAATTCAATTAATTAGTAATTCTAATTTCCCAAAATTGAGATATTCTCCCAATATTGAGAAGTTATCCCAAAATTGTGAAATAAATAATAATAAAAATTAAGAATTTCGGAATTAGTTAAATTTGGCCAAAGAGCGTCCAAATCTAATTCCGGTAACAGTATTTTCAAAAAATTAGAGAATCTCACTTTTCCCAATAATCTTTTTTTTTATATTGAGTAAAAACATTTAAAATAATTAGAAAAGGTAAAGATTAGCCAGTTTCTTTAGTTTCAGTTGGCTATTTAAAAGAGAACTCACATTTCGGCAATTTTTCTCAAAACTGGTGACAAACCAATAATTCAAATAATATAATATTGGCATTATTTTTATTTTGCATCCTATTCGTTATTCCTAATGTGACAATTTTTTATTACTGTTATTCAAGAATATAGAATATAATGATAGATGTTATGATATTTTAAACTATGTAAACTTTTACCAACTTAATTTTAGGCTTGGCTTTGAGAAATTAGAATATGGTTTCATCACAAACAAGAATAAGGTAAAATTTTTTTTCTTCATAACAGTAATAATTGATATTATTAAATATTTTACATACCACAGTCCATTAGAATTATTTGAATTTTCACTAGTAGGTGGTTGGGCATTAAAAGAAGTCCAAAAATTGAGAAGAATGATAGTGGTAAACATATACCAAAAAGTATAATTCTCTGTGTTTTTTAGCAGCAAAAGTTATCAAACGAGTCCTCAAGGAATGTTGGATGTTATAAAATCAAAAGTAGGAGTAATTCAAATTTTAGACTTTATTCGTTAAATAATTATTTATATCAGAAACGTGTGAAATATCTGTTATTACGCAAAACAGGTGAAATGTATCATATATATTATTATTATTTCTCCAATCCAACTCTCAGGTTTTTTGATTAAAATCATTAGCATATTTTTCAGTTAAAAATAAGAGGAAGAAGGAAAGGAAGAAGACAGTATAATGATAATTATTTTTTTAGATTCTTCTGGATTGAAAATGTGAGACACAATTATGTAATTAATACTACCACTATTATTAGGAAAATATGTCTGTTATTTTGTTACCATACTTTGTTAATTCAACAATCTATTCAATTTTTCTGCTTAATTTCTTTTTTTATAAAAATTTAGTATTTTGTAATAATATGATGATTTGATGTTTAACTAGTTGGGTTTTTAGATGATGATTTCTCCAATTTAACCAATATTGAATCATGATTAAAGCTCCAAACGGTTTGGTTTGAACCAAGCTGTCCAGAGCTTTAGGCTAAAAACTACTTGGCAGTCCCTGGTATCCTAATTTTTGCACTTTGCTTATTTTTTTTTTAACGTTAAGTTAAGTTTGGATGGAAAGTCTGTGTTCATTTTGTTATAAAAAACCTTGCCAACCTTGACCAAAGAATACAAATAAGGAAATATCTTCCATAAAAAACATCAATCATTCTTATATATAGTTTATTAAAAGAATGGTGGTTATCGCCACTCGTCGTCACTCTAGTTTAGAATTAATTAAAATTATTATAGCAATTAGTGTCCCGGTTGAACAAATTTTTCCTGGAGGCACAGACTTAATTGCTCAAAGATGTTGTATTTTAGAATCTGAAACAATGAATTTTATATTGAATTTAAAAAAAATGAGACATCCTTAAGGTTTCCATTCGAATAAAACGAAATATTCAAACAAAACAAACAAAATGAACAAAATAACAAAATGAACAAAACGAATAAAACGAACAAACGAATAAAATGAACAAAACAAACAAAACAAACAAAATGAATAAAACAAATAATTCGAATAAGAATGAATAAAACGAATAGAGAATAATTTGAATTAAGATTAAAATTAAAATTGAGCCGTATTATAAGAATTTTACTAATAGAAACTCTAACACTAAGCATACAAATTTTTATAATATGTAACGATCAGACTTATAACAGCTGTATCGAAACATGGCATTATGTATGAAATGTATAAAATTCAATCATGATCCCATTCTAATTTTGGAAACAGGATCCTTCCAGCATCTCTACTTCACAACACATTCGCTAAAACAAGCTACAAGTTTATTATAATTTTTTTGTGAAGTTAATATATAATCTACGTAATTAACAAGTTTAAAATGTCTGATCAATGTAAACTGAAAAACTGAAAAACCAAACCGAACCATTTGAAGCTTTAATCATAATACAATCCAACTTAAAGTTTTTATTTTATAATGAATTAGTAAAGTAGTAAAAATTCAAGATATTTTGTTTTTCTATTTCCTCTTCATCAGCAAATCAACCTTTATATAATTATATATTTAATCAAATATATATAATTCAATCAATTGATAATAAGAATGGTAAGAATAATTCTAAAAAAAAAATTTAACAATCATATATTATTATTATTATTATTATTATTATTATTATTATTAATTAAAATCTTTTGTACTGATAAAGAAAATTTAATAGAAAATCAATCTATTATTGTTATTAATTTTGAAGGGCCATCATATTGCATGGATTGTTGTATAGATGAATTTGTTACTAATGGGTATTTTATTACTGAACCTCGTGATATTGTATTATTACCATCATTATCATTATAAATTTCTTGATTTGTTGTAGACATATTGGTGTGTGTTTGATTTATTGGAATGTTATTTAAATCTGGATTACTTTTCTCTAATCCTGGTTGTAAATTTGGATCCATAATATTAGAAAGTTGTTGTAAATTTGAGGTTGGAGGAGGTGATTGATTAGCATAATTTCCCAACATTAATTGTTGCTGTAGTAAATGCCGTTGTAATGTTTGAAGTTGTTGTGGCTGCTGCTGTTGTTGCAATAATTGTAATTGCTGTTGTTGAACCAAATCAGGTGGACTATTTTGAGAAGAAGAAGGGGGAGGAGAAGGAGGAGAAGGAGAAGATATCATTTGTACACTATGAGCTGATGATGAAGCATCCTTAATTGATGATAATTCTCGTGCATTCTTTTTTTGTCTATTCCTATGATATAAAAGGAAAATACCAATTGATGCAGCAATAATCAAAGCAAAACCAACTGAAACCACAATTGCTAGAATTGTTGTAGGACTAAGTGCTGTTGTTGAAGATGTTTTACTGCTAGGAGACAGACCAGGAAATGATTTTACCCATTTGTAATCAACTACATTGAGTATTTGAATTGAATTACTTGTTTTAAGAGGTGGCCCAGCATTATTTGTTATATTACCTAAAGCACATAAATAATGTTAATATACATATGCATATGCACATACATATATTATCATTGTTATTTTTATTAATTAATTTATTTATTTACCAAATGTTACCACCATATAATCTCCAATTAAGTCTGCTTGATGGTATGAAACTGAGTTGATAGGAACTTCTGGTGTTGTTACTGGAGATGTGATCCATTTAAAAGGTTTTGTAGTTGTGTCTAATACAACTAATTCAGGAGTAGGTGTTGCTAGTATTGCAGGTGTGCATCCCCCATAGACTATTATTTGACCACTAGCTAAGAAATAAATATATAAAATGAAAAATTTTTTTTTAAATGATGATAAGAAACAAATAATAATTATTATTATTTACCATATACAGCTGTATGTCCAATGCGAGAATTAATATCTAGACCACCAACTGTAGTCTGATCAATACAAAAAAATGATTAATATTTTCCAATTAAAATAAATTT